GGGGTCCTTTTTGCCCCCTTCATGGACCGTGTGGACCGTGGAAAAAAAAACCGGGGCCGGTAGGCCCGATTTCACCGATTTGAAATCGGGCCCCATCTGGATCGTCGATCTCGAAGATCGACGGCCCAGATTCCACCGATTTCAAATCGGTGGGGGCGGGAACTACCGGTCCCCGTTCCCTCCCCCATGCTGAAGATTTGCCCAGACGTCCCCCCTTCCCTGCCTTGCACCACTGTGTGTCCGCTGGCACGACGGGCAACTTAACCGCACCCCGTCAGCACCTGCGAACGCCCGCCATCGCACGTGACCCCGCCGTTGCCCCCCAACGGCCGCCTCAACAGGGTAAGGGACTTAGTTTGGGGGAGAGAGAGAGAGAGAGAGAGAGAGAGAGAGAGAGAGATCTTCTTCTTCTTTGCCCCCCTTCCCGTCGTTCTCCACCAGCTGTCTTCTTCTTCTTCTCCCCCTTCGCTGAGTCAACTTCTTCTTCGGCTCCTTTTTCTTCTTCTTCCCCTCCTCCTCCTCCTCCTCCTTTGCTTCTTCTTCTTCTCCCCCTCCTTAGCTTCTTCTTCTCCCCCTCCTTAGCTTCTTCTTCTTCTTCTTCTCCCCCTCCTCCCCTTCTTCTTCTTGCCTTCTTCGTCTTCTTCTTGCCGGTTCTTCTTCTTCTTCATCTTCTTCTTCTTCTTCCCCTCCTTCCCTTCTTCTTCCCTTCTTCTTCCCTTCTTCTTCTTCTTCTTCTCGCCCCCCCCATCTCTGCCCGCCATCCCTCACACCATTTCCTTTTTTTTTTTTTTTTTTTTTCCTGTCTTGTGCCACGTGGGGACGCGTTTTGGACCTTCCCCGCGACAGCCATATCCCCCAACTTCGTCTCCCGCAATTTTTCTTCCGGCCATACTCAGCCCTTCTTCTTCTTCTTCTTCTTCTTCCTCCTCCTCCTCCTTGTCCTCTTCTTCTTCTTCTTCTTCTTCTACTTCTCCCCCTCCTTCCCTTCTTCTTCTTCCCTTCTTCTTCTTCTTCTTCTTGCCCCCCCCATCCCTGCCTGCCTTCCCCCGCGACGGCCATATCCCCCAACTTCGTCTCGCCCAATCTTTCTTCCCGCCATACTCCGCCCTTCTTCTTCTTCTTCTTCGTCGTCGTCGTCCTCCTCCTCCTCGTCCTCTTCTTCTTCTTCTTCCACATACACACCTGCAAGGTCTGTGACATACCAGCATTGACATCCCCCAGACCCCTCGCTGACATTCCTTCCCCCCCCCCCCCCCCCCCCCCACCTCCCAACTTAACTTTTTTATTGCAGATTTGTGGTCCTCTAGGGTAGCGCAGCACAACCCCGCCTTCAAAAAAAAAATAAAAAATTCCTTGCTGTGTTTTTGCGTCGCCCGGTTTCGCCGGGCGGACCCCCCTGGGCCCGCCCGGTCGGGGCCCGCCCGACCGGGCATGCCCGGCCAGGCGGCGGCCCAGCCTAGATATGTTTTGAATTAAAGGCATCCAATGTTCAGGCCGTTAGTAAGACAGTAACCTGAGACTTTTTTCAAGAGGGGTTTCCCGCTGATATGCTATCGGCGGTTCTCCCATACCAACGTAGCTACCCGGCAATGCCACTGGCATGACAACCGGTCCACCATAGGTTGACCCATCCCAGTCCCGTAAATCTTTCTTATAAATGCCACTATCTTATCACTTATCTATGGAGTGATTGCATCTGGGGGAATGCTTGGATAAGTGTATTCACAAATAAAATAATTGTTTGTCTTGTTGTGGCGACTGTGTTGACTATTTTGGGTGAGTTGCATTCTTAGGTGAGCTGCATAGAGCAATAGCGTTGTCTTTATTGGAAGTCAGAGGACCCGTAGTACCTGCCTGACAAGAAATGGACCTGTAATAGGAAAGCACTGACAATCTCATCACCAATCAGGAAGGGGTCTGCACAACACAGACTTCTTTCTTTGACATGGAGACGAATCCCGTCTACTGTCCGGGGGCTTAGTTTTGGATATTTGGACTTGGCCAGGTGGTGCAAGGTTCTAATGGTGCCAACCCCCAAAGCGTTAAATAATGTGTTATGACCCTGGCCAATTTCGAGATACACATCCATCAGATAGTACAATGCCGCCCAATTGCGGAAAGAAATGAATGAACTTGAGAGAAGAGAGAGGATTAGAAGAAGAAGAAGAAGAAGTAAGAAAGAAGAAGAAGATGATGTACACCAGCATAGGCGAATGACAAGGCTCTTCTTCTTCGCCCAACAATCTCATCCACCTTATCTCCCCCTTCTCTTATTCATACAAGAAATAATAATACAATGTTGAATGGCTGAGCCAGAATCAATGTCCGAGTCCCTCTTCTACCGCAGGTATCACTGGAGGTCCACCATAGCCATGGCCGCCTCCCCCACTCTTCACCCTCATAGGCCGAGGCTATGGCGGACTACTAGGCCTTGCCCAGATGCTCGAAGGACAACCCAAAGCAGCTATGGCTGCTCTAGCTCAGGCCGCCATGCCCAACCCTGCCTTGAAGCTTCTTGGTGTGCCCACCAAGGTGATGAAGATGGCTGCCACCATAGCCAGGTAAGTACCCCTGGCGCTCCTCCCCCTTCCTTCTTCCTCCCTCGTGTCCTTCTCCTTCCTCCCCAGCAGTGCTGCTCCAGCCAGCGCTCCACCAGTGTGTCGCCAGACTTGCACACCGAAAAAGAGGCCGGACTCTCCGCCCGGCCGGAAGATATAGCGGCCTGCGTTGCCTCTTGGGCGGTGACTTCCAGGCCGCTCGGCCTTCCAAGCACCGGTACCTCCTCCCTTTTTGGAGGGAAACATCATTGCAGACTTTGATATTGCCCGTACAGGCCCTAGACCCAGACTGCTTGGACTGGTATCCACCTAGACCTAACCTAATTACTGGGCCTCTAAAATGCCACTTTTGTCTTCTTCTGCTCGGCCTCCAGTACCCGCACATCTACCCCTTCAGGGTGTGGTACCGGCCTACTGCAAGGAACATGAATATCCAGATTGCAAAATCACACTGAAGTCCAAGTAGTCAAAGCCAGAGCAGATAGCACAGTGGAACCGAGTAACCATCCATTTGAGAATGATACAGAAGAATCGTGAGTCAATGTCCATGCCCAACAGGGCAACACCAACAGCATAACCCAATGTAGCTCTCTCTTGTGAATGGCGCCAGGCGCCCTATCTACTCTACAGCATAAGCCTACAACTACAGCAATGAAAGCAACCAGACAACTTGACTACCAGCGAGTGATGATGTCAACACCAATGCTGACCTCCACCTCCACCAGTTACGTGTCCTCTTCACCCACACTCTCCCTTGTTACCCACACAGCGCCTTCACCTCCGAAGAACCACCTTCGCCCTCACCTCCCCTGCGCCCTATGCAGCCCGGCTATGGCCGCCAAGCGCCCAGTACACAGGCAGCGCCCTACCGCCTAGCGCTAGCCTGTCTCATCCCAGCGCAGCGCAGCACCTCGCATTAGCGCAGTGTGCCCGCAATGCCTGCATTGGCCAAGATCCCTGCCCACTCGCCCTGCTTGCCTATATGCCAGTGCTGCGTGTGGGCGGCCTCCCTTCAGCCTGTATCTGGGCCCCAGTGGCTGAACCCAGCCCGATACAGTTGAGGCCCGGGGCAATGCAGTTGCGCTTCTTTCATCAAGGCCTGATGCCAGATTCAGATAGTGGGCCGATTTCCCTTTGGCATTTTCGGCCTCTATCCCCAGCATGCATTGTCGGCCTCACGTTTAAGTGCCCAGGGCATAACTAACTCAGAGGCCCTGGGATCTCCACATTCGCAGAGATTCAAGACTCGGTGCACTCCAACCAACTGGCGTGCTGCAACTGTATGGACCCCACTTCGGGAAATGTTTGCACAGAGGGCTCTTGTTGATTTGCTGGCCCGCCTTCACTTAGGACGGGCACTAGGCTTGCTGGGGCCTTAGCCCAGAACATGTACATCATGGCAAGGCCCCTTCTTGAGGGCTCAATCCTCACACTACCCACTACTTGAGTGTTTTTCCTGCTGCAATCCCTCAATGTCACGGCCACAGGTAAGTACTGGCCCTGAGGGCCCAATGAACGAGCAAGTGCCCTTGCGGGCCACACACACACTCAAGCCAACCAGCACTCAGACAGGCACGGCCACACACAAGTGGGAAACTCAGCAGGGCATTCAGTCTATGGGCAAAACTCAGAAACCAGCTGTGTGTTTCAGTCCATGTTTGGACGGGTCATCACAAATGGTAAAAACGGGGAAATTCATGGGCTCTTCGTGGACCGAATCCCTTGTTAGCCATATCTGGCCTGGACCACCAGTCTGTCCCTGCGGAACTTGTCAGATGTAGCAGGTTCATGCTGATAACCTATTTTGTCAATTCACTTTGTTTTGCTGAACCTCGGGCGATAGAATCAGAATTGCAATGCTTTGTTCGTACGTGATGTGAAGAGTTTGGTGGTGAACGTCTTGGGCCCCTGTCGTGTGGTCCACAAGCCTTCTGTAAACTCTCTAGTCCAAGAAGGGCATGAGGGACAGTGGTGGTTTTACACCGCACCGCACTGCCTCTTTCTGACCGGCCCAAATACAAGTGAACTATGGACTTGCTGGCAGGAAAGGTGCCTACCACCATGAAATGTCCCTGGCTTCAATTCTGGCCAGTGGCAGTGGGGCCGGAATCAGAAATATGATATGACCCATCGGCTGGTAACTGAAGCATGTGTGGAAGAAATGAAGTGCTTGGATACCCATGTGTGGAAGTATTAAAGTTTGTGTTATTATTATATCCAAGAAGATGCGGGCGGACAGGATCGGGAGTAAGCCGGTAACAGTAGCAGAAGAGAGCTATACAGTCGTTTGTGGTGCTAATGAAGGGGCGATTGTCGAGCTATCTCACCGCTGCAGAATTGCTCGATCACTGACCTGACCATTGATCAGCCCTTTCTGTTGTTGGCTTCCTGCTCCTCGTTCTCCTTGTGGACTTAACATTTGCATTTTCCATTGGCAAACAGGGGCGATAAACGTGGATTTGATGAGATGAACAAGGACAGCAATGATGTATTGACAGAGAGGCATGACCCTAATGCACTGAAGGTGAGACTCACGGACCTGCCATGTTGCATAGAGTGCTAAGTGCTCTGAGCGATGGTTTGTGACTATTGTTTTCTTTGTGATTTGTTCTTTGCGATTTGTGATTGGATGGAGCTGGAACCGGTAAGGTCTGGACTCTTGGTTTGATTGCCCTGATATACTTTCTTCTAAGGAGGAAAGCGGCGACCTCGTGGTTTTGGTTTCTATCTTGCTTGACATGGTGTTTACGTCCATTTGTTTAGAGAAGAGGCACAAAGGTGTTTGTAGTTTCTATTCAATTCCCGCTTATGCCCATGCATGCTCATGCTCCCAGATGAGACCGAAAAGTGTCGTGATGTAAATTGCCATTTATGGGGCTGAGGTGTTGCAGGTACAGATCCGAAGTCCCCTTCGCAAATTTTCGTGCCCTTGATTTTGTTGATTGCTGTTGCTCTTGATGAGGAGGTATATAATCTGTTTGTAACACTGCCCTCTGTTCTTGCTCCTATTTGCCCTGTTCGACTTGCGGTCAAGTCTGTGGCTCAGGGTTTACAATGAGCTGCAACCCAGGTCTGTTATGAACCCATGGCAGTTTTAGGGATCGTCTGATGGGTATTCATTTTACTTGTCTGATGCTGGTGGGGTCAATTGTGCATTGCAGTTTTAGGGATTGTCTGTCGGGTATTCAATACTAATCTGATAATGGCGTACCATGGTATTCGGGCGGTGAAGAACTTACAAGGAGTTCCTACTCGATGTCGAGGCAGATCAAACGTGAAATTGAAATGGGAACCGGAAAATCTCACAGGTCTTGCTCTTTGAGCCTTTGATTTAGAGAATTGCAAGGTGCAAGCTTGAGTGTGCGTGATGATGTTGTAATTAAGTATGCGTGCAAACATTGGTCTTGTAACCGTTCCGTCCTTTTTCACGTCTCCCTCTTTTACTGGGGATCGTTATGGTCTAGATGAAGTACGGTGGGTGCAGAGTTTTGCGCTTTCTAAGCTTCATTGCGGCCATACTATCTGCAGCTTGCAGTCTTTTCTGCATCTGGCTGTGCGGGCTTCAAACGTCTTTGCTTTTCGAGGGACATTTGCTGGACCACTGACTCTATATTGATTCGTTTGCAATGAGGTTGATCAGCTCGATACCTGTAAGTGCCTGAGGTGTAAAGAATCTAGGCTGAGATTCGTGTGGCACATGGTCTTGCAACTTTTGAGTCACGTCGGGGCTGTCAAGTCATATTTGGTTGGCCTGTTGGCTTGAGTACCTGGTTTAGGAGTATTGGCGGTGAAGATACAAGATCGCTATACTGTTTGTTTGGCTTCTTTGTGGTTGACCTAACAGGTTTAAGTACAGGTGGTAAAAGTGGAAAGTGGATCTGGACAATGTGACTTGTTTGCTATGATGTTGTGTGTAATCCTGTGGCTTGACAAGAAACTCGGTCATGCAGATGTTGCATGGGCTGCTCTGCTCTGGAGAACTTCCTATGTGATCAGCAGGGGCCAAGAGGGGCATCCTGTCTGGCTTCCAGTAGTTTATCCTTTCCTGGGTTCTCTGTTGACTTACATATATTATGGGCGCGATGCTGGCTTACTCTCCAGTTAACGCCAGGGTCCTGCTTGAGAGCGAAGAAGACATAATCCGTGTTTCTGTGGCCTGTTAAATCAAAGATGCGTCTGTGGTCTGTTCTCTCATGTGACTTGACAGACTATTTATGGTGTGTTCTGTAACTTCTGTTGCTCCAACGAAATCCAGGCTCTCTTTTGTAAGCCAAGAAGGGACCTCTATTTTTCTGTCGTCTGGTGAAACAACAATGTGGTGACTGTTTGTGCTCTCAGCAGGGGGATTTTGACTGGTCAGCTGTAATGTATCTTTTTTTCTGGTTTCTCATTGCACTTCAGTTCTGTGACTCTAATGAAAGCCAGGCTCTAAGAAAAGACATCCATGTCTCTTTGGCGGCATGAAACAATAACGTGGTGGATACTGTGTGATCGGCAGAGGCATTTTTTACTGGTTTCCATTGGCTTACCTAGCTCTGTTCTCTCACGTGACTTGCCATATTATGTGTGGCGTTTTGTTGGCTTCCAATGGAAGCGAGCCTCTTCCCTGCAAGTATATGTAAAGAAGAAAGATCATACCTCCAGGATGTTGCAACGCGGTTGTAGAATGATCCCTGAGTTCTTGGGTAGGTCGTCATTTCACCCGAATTGTCAGCACCTGCACTAATCCCTGCTAATATGTGACGTGGTGACTTACACATGTCATCTCCCTGCGGCTCTCTTGCTCATGCACGTCGCACTCCGGAACGAAACGGAGAGGGCAATGTTTATTGACTGCCATTGTCCTCTTTACAAGTGAAAAGAATGCTTACTAACGAAAACTCACAATGGTGTATGCATCCTCTTGCTGAAGAGAATGTGTGTGCGCATGCAGATGTGGAAGTTGATAGAGGGAATCTCTACGATTCTAGCTGCCCGTGTCTGTCTGTGCACTGTGGGAGCACGTGACAACACCCATCTAATTCTTGATGGCCCTCTCTCCAACGTTCTATATGTTGGGTGGTTCTCACTGACTTTTCTATCTTACTCGATCTGTAGGAATTTGAAGTCCCCCGGTGTTGGTTATCACGATATGAGTGAGCAACAAGCAGTAACTCTATTCATGCACTTGGAATGTTTCTGGACCAGGTGCATTTGGATGAAACCAACATTTTTTAAGTGTATCGGGTCCAGAGAGTGTGGAAATGCCTGTAGTGTGGTGCAGTGGATCGAGGCCCAATAGTTTGGTGCTTATCCGTTGTCTCACCAAGAAGCTATGGTGATGCCTGTCCCATTTAGGTGTTGTGATACCTGCTTCTGAAGCTCATACCCTTCCCCAGAAATTGGAAAAGGGGGTCACCAGCTTGGAAATTGCTGATTGCAACTAAGTTGCAGTGCTTGTGTGTTTGAACAAGTGGCAGCAGTTTGTGGTACTCAGCTAAAGCAATGTTGCTTTTGAAGGCTTATGTAGCACTTGCCTTTTGGGTAGGTTGTGGAGTTCGTAAAGTCTCCAATGCTGCTTGAAAGGGTCTTGCTGTCAAACAGTCTTTGGATGATCAAGCATGTGGAATATGAGAAGAGGGTGAGTGCCAGAAATATTGGATGGATGGAACAATTGTGGTCGAGCCACTGGCGGGATGGAACAGATCTTGGTCTTCGCACCACTGTAGGTTATTTTGCAGTATTATAACGACAGTCAGGTAAGGAAGGGTGGAGTAGGGAGAGGATGTTGGAATGGAAAGTTGGAATGGTTGGTCTTGGTTAGGTTATGGAGGGAAAGGGAAAAGCTGCAACGCTTGTTACACCAGTTTTGTTTGCTACGCATCCTATGGGGGCTTAGGGCAGAGCTCATGTGCTAGGGGGCAGGTGAATGAGCACGTTGGTGGGCAGAGGGGCGTGTAAACGGGGGTGGGCAGACGAGTACCGGCCGCTGCTTCACAGGTAAATCGGTGGCTGTAATGCTGTCTCAGGCACCCTTGTGAGAAACCGAGCAGCAGGTGGGTGGGCAAAGGCGGGGGGGGAGGAATTGATGTTAGGTAGGTGACTGGACGACGAGGGAGTGGGAGAGTGGGATTGCGGGCGGGTGTGGATGTAGGTGTAGGTGAGGTGGGTGAATTGCATGTAGGGATGGTTGAAGCACAGGAACGGAAATAGCAAAGCCAGGAGTAGTCAAGATGGTAGAAGGTAAGGGAAGGACGCGACATGCTGCATGTTCACGAACTGAAGTATGGGAGGGAGGAAAGGAGGCCAGGAGGTAGGTGACTGGACGAGGTAGTGGGAGAGTGGGACTGTAGACGGGTGTGGATGTAGGTCTAGGTGAGGTGGGTGGATTGCATGAAGGGATGGTTGAAGCACAGAAACGGAAATAGCGAAGCCAAGAGTAGTCCAGGTGGTAGAAGGCAAGGGAAGGACGGGACATGCTGAATGTACACGAACTGAAGTATGGGAGGGAGGAAGGAAGGAGGCAAGGAGGTAGGAGGTAAAGGGGAGGAAGGAACAAATTGTCTCGTCTTTTTTTCCCCCCCCAAAAGCCCAGGTTGTTGTAGAAGCCGGACTCTGGACACACGGGGTTACCACCACAACTATTGGCTGTCCTGACACTCCCTTATACTCCGTAAGACCATCTCCCTACCCATCCTCTCGGCAATTCTCCTAGCGCACCCCTAACAAGCTGGACTCTGGACACATGGGGTTACTGCCACAGCTATTGGCTGTCCAGACACGCCCTTGTGCTCCGTAAGACCACCTCCCTAGCAATCCACTCGGCAATTCTCCTAGCACACCCCAATCCATACTATCCTACCTCAGTATTGAGTAGTCAGGACTATCACCATGCTATTTCTGATGGTGACTTGGACCACACAGTAGTTCTAGGCATTGGGGCCAGGCAGGGCCAAGTGCGAAGCCCTGAAAGCCCCTAGCTTCAATGACATTCCGTGTATCTTATGCGGACGTGATCACTGTTGGAGGTGATCAGGACAAGGTCATGGCTGTTGATGAAGACCTGGATTGTGTGTGGTGTACGGGCCTTAATTTTTTCAAGGTCGACAAACCTCCGAAGGTGCCGGGAGTTCGAACCGTTGACAACCCTTGAAAGAGCGACACCTCTTTAACGTTTTTATCAAATAGGCACATGATGCAATACCTCAAAAAATTTGAGGCAGTAACTAGCTTGCGCACTGGTTCTCAGCATCTCAGCAATCTGGAGGCAGTAACTGTCTGTCTTGCACAGCGGCTCTTGCCTTGGTGCTGCTGCCACATACAAATATGTGGGCCATTGTTGTGTCGTGCATGCGATCGATCGCACTGCCCTCCCCCAAAAAATTCCGCCCAACATTGTCACACAGCGCACAGATCCAACTTGCCCATTACGCCCATCAGAGTTTTGAATGCCATGCAATGTCTTGAAAATTTTGAGGCAGTGACTATCTTACGTACTGACATCTCCCCCCCTTGGCTGACCCTTGCCCCCTCTTCGGTTCGCAA